AAAACTTCCCAATTCAATTTCTTCGATTACGTATTCAATTACGTATGTATATCAAAACACAAATTGAACTACACTCTTTTCTTAAATTTTTTAATAATAAAAAAATTATCCTGAAATTGGAAACCAAAACTACATACATACGTTCATTGTTGATTTATTAAAGTATATTATGCGTAAATAAATACTTATGTGGTTAAGTATATATGTATATATTTTTTTTTCAAATATGTACACATGAAATTTGCTCGCTTTAGAAAGGAAATCAGAAACTACATCAGTAGACATTATAGACAGCCTTAATCATGTACATGTATGTAAACAATTTCTTATCGTTAATTACACAAGTCTCTTTCTGAACAATTGATAATACATAAATTATTTTATATACACACATAATCATATACATATATTTACGTGCATACTTAACGTACGTTTATATGCGCGTACAACTACAATATAGAAAAATGCCCCAATTTCTCTTATGCACAACATCCATTTCAATATTTTGTAAAAGTTGCTCTAAATTTAATTGTGACTTGATAAACAAGTTCACATTTTAAATTTTTTGTGATCAAATTGAATTTTTTTTTTTTCAGTTTACATAACTTTTGGCAAGTTACGTCGGCCACCAATAAAAATTCCCAAAAATTGATATAAAAAAAAAAAACTTGCAAGAAAAAGGAATTTAATATTTTTGTATTTTGAAAATCAAGTTTTGTTAAATTTATTTACAACCGATTTACATAACATTTTTTTTTTATTAAATAATAATTTATATATGTACATACATATATATATATGCGACAAATATGTAGTTTAATACTGATAGATCGAATTTTAAACGATTTCCACCTTTCAAGTAAAATGAATTAGAAAAAATTTGCACTTTTTTTTGAAGAACAAACGCAAGAAACCAATCAATAATAAAAGGACACTTAGACTAAGATCCAATAAAATTATTACTAGCCGCTAAATCATAAATTGAATTTAACATAAATCATTTTTTTTAAAGGAAAAGACAAAAAGGAAAACACACAAGAACATATTTTTACCCTTTCAAAAACTTGTTGTGAGTAAAAAATTAAATTTTACTTTCTAAACGGGTATACAACAAGAAAAATTAAATTCGAAATGGGACACGTCTTTTAAAAAAAAAATGCAAAATATGTAAGTAATTACAATAAACCTGACATAAATTAATTCAAACGTGACAATTCATTTCAATTATCATAAAAATGATTTTAAATTATTTTGATTTTTTAATAGTTAAAACGGGTAAGTAGAATCTTGGTCAAGGCACCTATAAAATTAAGATAATTGAGATGAATGTAGATAAATTTTATTCGTTGTTTAAAATAATTTAACTATAATATTAATTATTATTGAAATTATTTTAAAATTACTTAAGTATTTGTAGTACTCGTATTTAATACCATGTTAAAGAATTAATAATTTAGGATATATGATTAATTTTTTAATGGTTTTATGAAAATTAAATGTTATATTATTGTATTCCGAATTGAAAGATGTACACAAGTACAATTAATATTGTATAAATTTTAATTCTTTACGCGTTATCGTATCACAAAGTGATGATTTGATTTTGTTTCAATGCACTTACAATCTAAAGTACATATCTGAATATTCTAACCATAGCCGCATATACATACATATGTAAATGCCAGGATCACAAAACAATTGAATCTAATCATATTTTTATTTGTATAATAACTAAATATTGAAGTATATTTAATAATAAATCACCAAATTTAAGATTTAATAAAAAAAATACAATTTTTTTCATATTGAACAATAAAATTGTTGTTGTAGAAGTTATACAAATAATTATCATTTTGTAACAAATCACTTGACTTAAAACAAGGAAATGAAAAGCATTGAGTAAGTAGGTACCACATACTAAGTAAATCGTCAGAATTTTTGATAACACTAACTCAAACAAATCAGCTTTCAATATCAATATTTTTAAAAAGATAACTTAAACAAATATTTGAAAATATCTCGACCTTATGGATTTGATATTTTTGCATCTTCAAATACGAGTATGTATGTAAGTTGTATTTACATTTGTTATTCCAACACTGTTAGCTTACAGATATGTAAGTACTTATTTTTGCACATACACAGAATCATATTTATAATAAGAAACAACAAATAAAGATTTAAAATTTAGTCGATTAATTTCTTTCAATTTTAAAATAAGAAATATTCATTTTACTTCTACAAGATCAAAAACAAAAATCTCCACCTTAAAATATATTCGATAGCTTGCCGTAAAACATTGTCAAGTATAAAAGGGTTTCTAATAAAATAATATTTTTCATTTATTTTCATCAAACATAATTTTTATTCCAAGCAATTTGAAATTACTCAATAATTTACTTTGAAACAACAAAATTTTACTTATCACTTTTCTAGAATTAAAACTAAACACCTACTTCATCGAAAATTACAAATTTCAATTTTGTTGACATAATGCGTCATAACCTAACTTTTTATTAACAAAAATTTAACTAATTTCAAAGCAAATCAGCTGATGAAAGTAAAAAAATTAAGAAAACTACATAATTCAACTGCATATGTAATAATATTATGTGAATGCTACCCTACTGACATAAACAAAATATTAAATTTATCTATTTTCTCATTTGCAGCGAAAAATTCTGAAATAAAATAGAACTTTTAAAATAACAATAATAAAAATATAAAAACAAAACATATACAGAAACATTGAGTTCGCACATGTTCACAAACAGTTTACAGCCGAGTACTATCAAAACAAAAAAAAATAAAGAAAAAATTTTTGCTTGCAGACTTTTGATAACAAATGTCAAAAAATTGCATAACCACTTTATGACACTGAAACACATGTAACTTTTGCTATAAGAACAGAAAAGAGAAAATGTAAACAAAAAAAAAATTTAGAAATCAGAATCGCATTCATTCCTTTAATTTTAAATGGCAACAACATAAAATTCATTTTTGTTAATTTCAAAATTTTAAACATAATGTAAACGTATTTTCATATTGAATTTCAAATAATATTATAAAGTTACTTAAATACAATAATTTAATTTTTGAGGAAAGAGAAACAGAAACCAAAAAAACTTTCTTTTACTCTTTCCATTAAATATAAGGTTTGTACGCCTCGTGAATTTCAAATTAATATGAGATACAAGAAAAAATTCAAATAATTTTGATTTTGTTATTGTCACAAAAGACAAAGTTTTCCTTTTTTGTAGTTTTTACATGGACAATTTAGAAAATACATAGGAACATACCTACATAATTTAAAATACATAAATATGCCTTTGCTTACAAAAACAAAATTCAGGGTAGAATTATTGTGATATTATTATTGTAATTCAATATCTTAACACATTAGTTATATAAGAGAATGGAAAAAATGAAACATCACCATTGCATTGCTAGCAAAATTTGATATATTAAAGCAGTTGTATCGAATTATAAACGTCAAGGCAAACTGAATAATTGAAAACTTCAAAAATTCAACGAAAAAATTAATCAGTTTAATTTAGTAATCTTTTTATTTATAAAATATAAAATAATTTCACTATTTCGAAATGTCCATGTGAATTTTGTTTTCGTACAACAATCATAAAGGAACAAAGACCCGATCATCTTACATCTTAAAAAACTAGACCAAAAAATGCTTGTGTTATGAGCAATTTCAACTCTATGAGCACTGTTAAAAAAAAAACTAATACTTTTTATGTAAAATAAAATAAAATTTTTTTTAAACAGAAACGAAGTAAAGAAGATTGAATATAATAATTTTGGGTTCTAACCACGACTCCATTGAGACTCTACTAGCCATTGCTGCATAACTATGTATTCTTAATTATTTGTATTTATTTTTAGATACATATTTATTTTTAATTCTATATTTGTTTTTAGATATTACATAATAAACAAGCACTTAATGGTTTCTTTTTAAAAATTTAAAATTTTCTACCCCCATAACACAATATTATTACATGCAAAAAACTAAGTGTGCATTCGATACATGTTTCCCAACACAATAGTATATTTCTACAATATTCTCATCCAAAATTTCAGAAACATTAAATAATTTTGAAGTAATTGTGTAGTTTTTGTTTAATATGTAAATTTTCATTATATTTATAAGTAAATTAAATTGTTAATTAATAATCTTTAAATTTTTGAATGAAATAAAATATTATTATTATTTTTACTATTATGAAGAAAATATTGTGTAACACAGTTATAAGTTCTTGCTTACTAAATCCACGTACATAAAACAAAAACCTGATTTTTAAGAATTTAATCGCTAAAGTACTCAAATAGTACTTTCATTTAATACCTATATACTTATATTTTAACATTAAAATAATTAACACGAAAGCCTCGTGTAAAATAAAAAAAGTTTTAAATGTCTAAATATAAAAATACGACTCTGTCTTTTTTTTCTGTATAAAATTATGTTTATGCAATAATAATACAAACTAAATGAAGGAAAAAAATTTTTTGAACGCCAAAAAGAAAGTGAAAATAAAATTTAATTTACATGCTATAAAATTTTGATTTAATTAAACATTAACTTCAAAAAAAAAAATAAGAAAGAAATTCAAAATTACTAAAAATTAAAAGTGAATTTTTTGAATATCATTCATTACTGTTAGTAGCTATGTAGATATGATGAACTAGTACCTACTTATATACCCAGTATGTTTGTATTTATTTGTAATGTATTTGAAATTCAACAAAATCTTCACGCTTCACACAATTGGACACTGAATTTAATTTAAATAATTAGATATAAGACACTATCCCATAATATAATTCAATGACATGATAGTGAATTTGACATTTGTTTTGTATGTGCACTTAGGTAATTTTTAATTGTTTTCTTCAATAAATTAATTATGTAATCAATAGACAAATAATTAATAATTAAATTTAGAAAAATACAAAAGAAATGTTTTTTTTTTTTTACTTACGTTGAATTTTAAAGAAAAACTTCTTATAAATCCATTTTGTTTTGATATTTTCGGATAAGATAATAATCCAGTACCAGAAGATTTTGTTGCAAAAATGATACCGTTATTATTAACTGGTGAATTCTTTTGTTGATAAAATTTTGATGCTGTAGATTTTGAAGATATTGGTGAGGATGTTAAAGCGGAAATTGTTTCATTTGTTTTTAGATTATAATCGTTATTATTATATATTTTTTTATAAGGTAATCCAATATTAGATGAACCAACAGCTACTACATTTTTATTTGTATTATTTAATATTATTTGACATAATTTCTCTGGTTGAACAACCCTTGTATAAAATCTAGAATTTCCTAAACATGCCATTTTTGTAATTTTTCTTTTTTTTTGTATTTATCTTTTTCAAATAAGAAAACCTTTTTGAATTGATTTTATTGATGAAATTATATTAAAACACACATGCATATAAAAGGTACAATAATTTGAAGAAAAATATCTTATGAGGGTCATCAATTCTAGGATTATTAAATTTTGATTGAATAACCAAAATATATTTTCATAATGTTAAAGTATAGGAAATTGGGAACTTTATTACTTTTATTCATTAGTATAAATTATTGTTGTAATTAAAATAATTCATAAATTGAAAATTACTCTTTTTTTTTTAACATTTAATTATTTATAATTTAAACACTTTCACTATTTTCTTTTGAGTAACCTTCATTTAAAAATAAATCTACAACCAGCACAAATCGAGAGGAAAAAAAAGCACAAAATTATTAATCCGCTTTTTTTTTTTTTTTGAATAAACGAAAAACACTGACATTAAATTGAATTTGTTTTTACTAATTGTTCAGTTTTCATTATTTTTTGTTGTATAAGCCTTTTTGACCTCACCGATTCAATTTAAACAAAATATAAAATGTCCATTCGATTCAAGAAACAAATTTGATCTGAATCACTTGAGTATCGGCAATGTATCGTTTTAGCCTGCTTTCATATCGTGTCTGTGGTTGTAATTCCTATTTGTTTCCATAATAAAAATTTAACCATACAATAAACGGTGGTGGATGAATAAATGAACGGATAGCCCTACCACTAAATTTTTGTTACAACTTACTTATTCAGTTTTGAACTTCAAAAGAAAAGTCTCTTTTTAATGAAAATTTTCGTATGTAAAATACCACCTGCTGCAACCACTATCTGAAGGTAAATTATTGATAATAAAAACAAAAAAAAAAAAAGTTTTAAGTAATGTAAAATCTTCAAAGTATTTCGAACACCAAGTACTTTTTTATTTTCATCCCCACACAAACCAAATTTTTATATTTTTTTTTTCATTTTTTCTTTTTTGGTTATTTTTTAACTTTGAAAATTTATTTTGTTGGTGTGTGGGGATACCAAAATCGAAAAAAAGAGAATTTCTATATATTAATTCCTAAATGTTATTAACAAAAAATGTTATTAAATTCACATTTTAAAAGAAAAAAATAATTTTTACTCTCTTCAATTTTAAAAGAAAAACTTAAAAAGAAGAAAATTGACTAGGTAATAAAAAGGAACTTATTTCTTAATATTACTGCAAAAAAAATCATGTGTTTTTGACATTAATGATTATTGCAGAAAGAAATGTTATTTTATTTTCATTTTGTCTGCACAAATATCATTTTTTACAGATTTTTTTATTAGTATTTTTTAATAAAAACTTTCATCCACTTTACTAGGTACACTTTATTAACCTTTTTTGCAAATATTTTTCCTGAAGTATTTTGCAATAGCAGTTTGGTCTTGCTAAATTAATTATGATTATTATTATTGCTTTAAGTGGTTTATGCCAATTAAAAGGGACTGATCGTCTATCTCGTTATTTTACTAGGATAGTGAGAAGAAAATGAGTAAATATCATATTCTTGTATAACGTAATTTTTGAGTGAGAAGAACTATTCGGTATTGTGTATCTTGTTTTTTTCTAAAATTTATAGAAAATTTGTTCAATTTGTTTAAGAAAGTGAGACGTTCAGTCGATAATTTGAGGAAAAATGCAAAAACCCAATTAAAAAAATTAGTAATCTTATTTTAAAGATGAAACATCCACTAGAAAATATTGAAACTTCCGATTTGAAAGTGAGTAAAAAAGCATGATACACAATCAGGCTGTGATATGTTTGAAATTCATTTTACGCTCGCTTTCTATTGGAAATCGGAATTTAAATATCGCGATTACCGCGCGGTAATTTCGTGCGGCTTTGTATAAGCTGCCGGTTTTGTAAATTGGTATTGTACAGATTAAATATATTTATTGGTTTATAAAATTTTTATTGAAGATCGCTCTAAAAAAAAATACTTTAATCTTTTTTAACTCTCATTAGTGTAAAATAATTTTCATTATTTACAATTTGACATATTTTTTGACACATTACCGTAAAATTGTGCATAATTTTGCTAATGTTCCATGCATATGCATTTAATGTTCAAAGGTTAAACCACAAATTAATGTCAGATCAAAATTATTAACAAATACTTAAATTTTTTTTCTTCATTTTCCCAAATATTGTATTTATTATTAAAAATTTAAATATTTTCCGAAATTCAGTTATTTTATTAAAACTATCCTTCAAATGTTGAATTTTGATTTTCTCATTTATTTAAAAGATTTAATAATTAGCAAAATATTTATTAGAATTAAATTGATAATTGCTAAGCAACAAATATAACTATCAGAACTCAAAAATATTTTATTTTTTTTATTGTTCGCCCAATATTCGCATAGAGAATAAAAATTGAAAATTTTTGATCAAATGGTATGAAACATTTCAAATTATTAATATGCTTAACTTTAATAGTCTTAATAGGCTAGATGCCAAATGACACTTAAAGCTGAATGTCAAATTGCTAAAAACATTAACTGAATTAAAAACCCAAAACAATCGTAACATTTGGGGTTATGATTTGAAAGCTATCAAAAAATTTAAGGAGCTGAAGTTTTATGCGACAACACCGTACAGATAAAATATAACGAAAGGCTTCCAACAATTATCAAAAATTAACTTGTCCATATGATAACTATGGTAATTTGAGCAGCAAATTGAGATTCAGTTCCATTGTTCGTATATTTAATTTTAATTTTCGTTTTGAGTTGCAATTGAAGAAAAATAATGGAAATTAAGGGTAAAAAATTAAGAATTATTGATGAACTTATGAAGTTTAAAAATTTGTACCCTTAAAGTTTTTGGGTTAAATTGTTGTTTTTTTTAAATTGACAAAAAAAAAATTTTGGGAAGGCAACCCTGATGATGAGTGTTCCTTTTCGATTGTGATTGTGAAACGATTGTCAATGAAACTTCATTTTGTAAATTGTACTTCCTCGTTTTTTTGTTCCATATTCGTGTCAAAATCAATTTTCATTCTTTCTTTCTTCATTGGATCTCAAAGAAGACAGAGGTATGTCTTTACTGGTTATAAATATCTTAAAATATTAAATTGAATTTTTTAAATCTTAAAAAATTTTTGCAATCAACTATAATTTAATTGTAATTTTAAATTATATTTGTTTTAAAAATACTAAGGAATTGCTTTGTCTTCTAATTTAAATAGAAACACCAGAAATCTTTATTAAGTAGTATATAAAAATTTTAGTGAATCAATTTACATATAAGATCGACTTCAGAAAAAGTCATTTATATAAAAAATTGAAATATTGCAAATTTTATTCAAGTTTTTAAAAAATTCAATAAAATGATGAGATACCATGCACCACTCCGAGTTGTAATAAATTTTATTACATGACGAGCATTGGTAAAAAATCTGATTATATTGAAAATTTAATGAAATATTTTATAATGTGAATAAAGTTATTTATGTTTACACACTTCTTTCTATTTCTAGGTAAGTTGCTGGTGAAAAGCATGCTCTAAATTTCAATACACGTGCAAAAGTCCACGTGTAGAGAATTTATTAAATATAACCAAGAAAAAACGACTTGGAATGTAACTCTTAATATTACATGTATAATTGTACCCATACATCTATTATATTTAAAATTTTTTGTTTTATAATTTCAGGTAAGGATTGAAAATGTTTGTCGAAGATGAAAGTTGTCGGTTTAAAATGATAGACCGATGATGTGACGCTTTGATTAAAAACAATCAAAAACAATGTTATAAATACATATTTCTAATTTTTACACGTTACTAGGTCTATCTAGGTAAATCAAAATGGGAGCGTATCGTTATATGCAGGAGCTTTATCGGAAAAAGCAAAGTGATGTTATGCGATATTTATTACGTATTCGTGTGTGGCAATATCGCCAAATGACAAAATTGCATAGGGCTCCACGCCCATCCCGTCCTGATAAAGCTCGCCGCTTAGGATATCGTGCTAAACAAGGCTATGTAATCTATAGAGTACGTGTACGACGTGGTGGTCGCAAACGTCCAGTACCAAAAGGTTGCACATATGGTAAACCAAAAAGTCATGGTGTTAATGAACTTAAACCATATCGCTGCTTGCAATCTATTGCTGAGGTAAATATTAAATTTTTCACTTAGCGTAAGAAAGGTTTAGTCTATGTTTGCAATCCTTATCAACTCATTTTTTATATACATATGTACTTAAGAAGTTTGTACTCGTAATTTTCTAAATGTGCAAAGTGAAAAATGACCAAAGAAGGCAAATATTTGTCAAAATCAGAGTAAATAAACAGCTGCACAGAGCTACGAACAAACCAAACCTAATTTTCATAGTACAGTAATAAAAAGAAGCTGGATGTTGTAATTTATTGCAAACATGAACTCAACTAATTAAATGATGATAATCATTTAGAAAACATAAAAACCCTGTTGATTTAAACTTCCTTAGATGTCTGACACATATATTTTCAAAAATACCATTTATTTTAAATGCAAAATCTAATAAAATTATTTTTATTTCATAGGAACGTGTTGGTCGTAGACTTGGAAGTCTTAGAGTTCTAAATTCATATTGGGTTGCTCAAGATGCTTCATATAAATATTTCGAAGTTATCTTAATTGATCCATTCCACAATGCTATTCGTCGCGATCCTAAAATTAATTGGATCTGCAAAGCAGTTCACAAACATCGTGAATTACGTGGTTTAACTTCAGCTGGTAAAAGCTCTAGAGGTATTGGAAAAGGTTATAGATATTCACAAACAATTGGTGGATCACGTCGTGCTGCTTGGAAACGCAAGAATCGTTTACATTTACACAGAAAACGATAAGACGTTTATAATTCTTATTAAGTTATCACTATTCTGTTACAATTTTGTAACAATAAAAAATTAAAAATTAAAATATGGTTTTTTGTTTTTTAAGTTCATACATTTCTTACAGCTCCTGGCTATCCCGAAAAGTATTTTTCATAAACGTATGTACTTTCAAGTTTACAAGTTCGCAAACGTATGTACTTCCAAGTTTTGTGTGTGTAAACAGGGGTATGTTCGTGTTAGTATTTTTGAAAATGCAATTCTTAAGTTTAAAACTTTAAAGTCTTAAGCTGTACATTTAACTTGCATATGAAATATTGAAAGGTCGCAATTCTAACCTTGGGAACAGCGTTTTCAAAAATTCTTATTTCAAGCAAAGTTCTTTTAAAAACTTTATTAAAAAGTTAAGCAAAATTCAGGGATAACTTGAATTACATATGTATGTCAGATATGTTGTCAAGATAAATGCTAAAGAGTTATTTATTGCTTATAAAAAATTTAGAAGTAGAAAATTGTTACTTTTGGAAGAATTTGTATATGATTGATCACATTTCTTTTGTGGATCTCATAATGTTAAATATTGTATGATTGATCAGTTGCTGATTAAATATGATGAGATTGTTTGGAACACTAAAAAATATATGTATACACATAGGTATAATTCAAAAATATACAGTTCTAATGCATTTATGTAAAAATATATGCACATACATGTGTATATGTCTCTTATGAATATAACTTGATTAATTGGAAAGTTTAGCCTATCTGTTAATTTTTTACCGACCGTATTGTGTATACAACAGTTAGGTTATGTGATGGCAACAAATTTTGCATATCGAGTTTTGGGTGGGAGTGCACTTTTCCATAGTAGGGAAGTGTAAGTAAACTATTTTTAGCAACCTGTCGGTCTTTCGGTCTGTGTGTGCACGCGTGTATCTAAAGTTCTGCTTAACCGATTTTAATGAAATTTTATATATAAATTTATTTCGACCATGGCACGGATTGATCAACTTTTGGGATATATCAGACCTCGGGAACTGCACTTTTTAGCAGGCCTGTTTTACATTTTTGACCATTTCGAAGAAAATATTCAACAGATTTACTTGAAATTTCATATATAAGCTTTGGTCGATCGTTCGCGAAACCTGCTAACTTTTGGAAGAAATCAGGTGTCAACAACTGGACTTTTACTACGGGCCAGATATACATTTTTGCGTATATAAAGAGAAATAATCAATCGATTTCATTGAAATTTAATATTTAAATTCTTCGTACTAAAACAAAGAACATATAAATCAGATCAGGGCTCGAAAACAGATCTGCGAGCCGATTTTACATTTATTACCATATCTACGGAACGAATTGATAGAATTTCTGGAAATTTGATATTTGAGTTCTAGTTGTTACCAAAATTAACTGGCGAGCATTTTGGGGAATTCGGGTAGCACAAAGCGATACTCTAGTAAGAGCCAAATTTACATATTTCTAGATATGTTAACTATAAGCTTACTAATGTCCTAAAAATTGGAAAGAAGTATTTAACAGACATTTTTATAATATTTTTATAATACAATACACATTGCGGTCGGTTATATGCTGACCACATTAGATTTTTTTTATATTGTAAACTTTAAAATACTCTAAAATCTGAAATTGGGGTTTAGTTTCGTTAATTTTTATAGATTCAAAAGTATAACAGTTTTTATTTTGCTTTTTTAAAGAATCACTGCGGATTCATTCAGTCACTGTAATTGTGATAGATTTCAAAATTACTAGTGTTTTAATATTAAAAATAAAAGAATTATTTGTTTTGTGTTTTTATCGAACCCATTGTTTTTTTTTTATTATTATTATTGTACAGTTTTATACAGTTCTATTATGTATATTTAAAAAATAAAAATATTTTAGATAATTATTTATTTTATGTAATTGTTTTGCTAGTTTTTCTTTTTTTTTGTTTGATGGGGGAATAATAAAAAAAAAAAAAAACAAAATAAATTAAAAATTATTATTATTTTTTTAATTGTTTTCTTTTTTGTAACAATTTATTTATTACTAAAAATTTTTGGTAAAAACCAAAAAGTTAGTCTTTAATTAAATTTTCTTAATTCATTTTTTTTTAAATCATATTTTTCAAGTTTTATTTATTAATATAAAAAGAAATATATTTTGATTTTTTTTCTTTTTTTTTATATTTTTAAAGCATTTAATATTGTTTTTACATTTTACATTTTTAATAAATACATTTTTTGTATTGCTAAAATTTTTTTTCAACATTTTTGCTTTAAATATTTTTCTCTTTATATTTAAATATTTCAACGATGTTATTTTTCTTTATTTCTACGTAAATCGTTAAATTATGTTTCCATTTTTTTTTTTTGTTATTTTTTAAGTTTAGTACACTGGTCAATTAGCAAAATGTATATCATTTCAAAATATATTAATGATTTTAGTAATAGTTAACTTGTATTTAGATTGTAATCTAAGATATATGTAATAAAATAGTATATAATATTATCTAAGATAGTATAAATAAAATGTCTTTGACTTGTTCGAAAAGGCTGATATCTATTATAAATTAAATAAAACAATTACGTTGTAAAAAATAAATTGGATCGGATAAATAATTATAGAACAACTATATTTGCCCCCAATTTTTTCTTATAGATTTTAAAAGTTTTTGAGGAATTTTATAACTAAATTGTAAAAGGGATTTTTTACTTCTTGTACTAATTAAAGAAATATTTTCAAAGCCAACCTACAAAGCAGTATAAAATTTATTAATTTTTTTAAATTTCAATAAATTTATTTAAATATATTGAAAAAAATTCACAAAAAGAAATTTTAATTTTTTTTGTACCAGTGTACTGTTTTTTTTTTAAGGCATTTTAATTTTTTCATTTGTATTTGCTTCTGAAATACATTTGCTTATTTTTTTTTTTTTTTTATTTAATATAGAACAATATTAAAATAATGTTATTAAGTATATAAGAGATTTTCATAAACGCAATACTGAATGCTGGCAATAGCTGCGAAATTCAATTTGCATATTTTTTAATTATACTGCGCTACTTTTAACTAATTTTACTTAATTGTCAAAAATTAGCAATGTTCATGAACAAATTATAGATTAGTAAAATTTGTTTATGAACAGAAATAAATTGCAGTTTTCGCTATTTATCGCTATATACCGCATTTGTGAAAAGGTCTATAATATATTAATTTATTTGCTCTTGCATTAATTTAAGATATGAATGAAAAAAATCCTAAGTGCGTATGATTGTTTTATAAATTAAATTCGTATATTATTATTTAATTTCTATGCTAAATAAAAATTTGCATGTAAACTAAAATTTATTAATAAATATTTTATATTTAGATCATTATTTTAAAAATAAAACAATAATTTTGATACACTTAGGATTTTATTTTAATTATCATAATTAATGTAAAATATGTATAATTATGCAAATAATATTATTGTTATAAATTGTCGTGTTAGTATGTTGTTAACAGTGACTATATTTTTTTTTTTATATTATTATTAGGTCTTAGAATGGAAATGAATTTTCTTCGAAATACCTGAACTTGAAAAATGACTTCTAAATTTCCATCCCAATAGTAGTAGAGTGCTTGTTGGTTAATTAATGCAAATGGAATTTGTTTATTCTTTTTTGATGAGTTCAAAATTTTTATTTTTTAACATTTTCAATAATTATATTTTTATTTTATTTTATTTTTTTATTTCTCATATATGTATATATGTATGTATGTATATTGTATTTAATATATACATATAAATATATTTTCAAATTTATATTGGCTAAATAAAAATATAAAATGGAAATTTGTTTTACTTAATTTGAATGGATTTTGATTATAAAATACATAAGGAATTTTATTTAATTATATTTAATTTACATACACATATACACAATAATTAAATACACGTATGTACACAAAATTATTAAATAAAAATATAAAAATTTTTATATTTATTAATCAGCCATTATATAATTAATTTATTTATTTATATATTGTTTTATTAATTAATTAATTTTTAATTTTTTTTTCATTTTTTGTTTGACTATTTTTCTGATTTCTTACTCTTCCCTATATTATATATGTATGTATGTATGTATAATGTGAATACAATTTAATGTTAACATATTTTTATGTTTTACATTATAATATGTATATATATTTTAATATTATTTTACACGTATGTATGCATTATTATTATTATATTCATATTATTATATTCAATAAAATATTATATAATATATAGAAGAAATATATTTATATAATATATATATATATATATATATATATATATATATATATATATATATGTAATATATATATATTACATTTAATATAATTGTAATTAAAATCTATGAAATATACAAATACGTAAATTTCATATTTTTATAATATTTGTTTTTTGTTTTGTTATTTTAGGCTACTGATTTTAATTTTTTAAGTTTCTTTTCTTTAAATTTATTACCTTATTCGTGTATTAAATAGATGTCAATTACTTAAATTCTAATTATAAAGATAGTTAAATGTTTCATGCTAAAAGATAATTGTTTTTGTTTAATTTGTTTTTCATTCTCTTAGTATTTTAATAATATTTTAATCAAATTTATTTATTATACATTATATGTATATGCATATACAAATATATACATACATTTTATGTATAATTTTATTTAAGAATCTAATTCTGACAGTCACTTTTTTACAAATGTTTTGTTTTTTATTTAAAAATTTTAGTTTGTAAATAGGGTTAACAATCGCATACATTCAAAATTAAAAACTTTTCTCAATTTCAAAACCAAAAAGGAATTTTAAAATTTTTCAATAATTATATTAAGCATTGGAGAATTTACGATAATTCAGATATGCATTGAAAGTTGTGAATCGAATCTTAGACTTCTAACATACCCGAACAATTCTACAATATCCAACATTTTTCTATTATACTCTTCTTCTAATTTAAAATATTTTTGAAGAAGTTATAAAGAAGTTTAAAAATTAATTTTTTACTTTTTGCAAATCTACAGTTGGGATTTATTAAGCGTGCTT